TCAGGGGGGGGGAGCCTAGAGAATTTTGTTTTTGCCACCACCATGTCCCTTTGCGGGTGAGTATGGATAAGGGCTTTTCTTATGAAATTTCCGGCGGTTTCCCCCCCCATATTTCTCACAGCAAATGCTGAATGAGCACGCTCCGTCTACCAGCTCGACGGGCCGATGGTCCAGCGGGGAGCCTGCGCGGTCGCGGGCGAGAAGCCGGCGCCGCATGCTCCGTGCTGGTCCATCGGCCCGTCGAGCTGGTAGACGGAGCCTGCTCATTCAGCACTTGCGTGCGTGAGTGCAGAGTGGGGGAGCCGTCGGGCTGGCAGAGACGGAGAGCCTGTTCACTCATCAGCCAGCCATGAGCGAACTCTGAGTGGCCAGACCAGAGCGTCCGGGCAGGCAGACGGAGCCTGACGCGGTGCGCAATGTGCGGCCGTCGACCCTTGTGGCGATGGCCGTGGAGTGCCACGGCTTGCGGCCCCGCGGCTGCCCCTTGCGCCAGCCCTCGACGGCGAGCGAGACGGCGCCGTCAGTGGAGGCGCCCAGCCGCTTCAGGTACCAGCCAGTCAGCACGACGGGGGGCTTGCTCGAGCCTCCTCCTCCGCCGCGCGCGCTGCCCGTGCCGACTGCTGCTGCCGGCGCCGCCTCCGCACCCGCCCTCGGCTGCGGCTGCTGCGGCTGCGGCTGCTGCTGCTGCGGCGGCTGCGGCTGCTGCTGCGGCTCGCGGCGCAGGAAAGCGAGCAGCTCTGCCTCGCTGCCCTTGTTCCGACCACCGCCCGCCCCCGTCGCCGCGGCGCCGCTGGCGTTGGCGGCGGCGTTGGCGGCAGCGGCGGCGGTGGCGACGGGCGGTGGCGGTAGCGGCGGCGGCGGCGGCAGGCGCTGGCGCGGCGTGGCGCCTGCGCCGTCGGTGGAGAGCGAGTCGTTCGAGAAGGGCCCGCCTGCTCGCAGGTGCAGACACCGGCCGTTGGGGAGGGCCCGACCCAGGGCCCAACCCGCCCTTCTCCCCTCGCCCCCCTCCCCCCCTCGCCCCCCCCGTGCCATCTCAGGCCGTCGCTACCTCCCGCTCTTGCGAACCCACACCCCGCGGGTTCTAGCATATGGTTGGGTGGGGGGCCAATTGCCTCCCAGTTTTACCCCCCCCCCCCCCCCCACCCACCCACCCACCCACACACCCGCACACACCCTCTCCCCCTCCCTCTCCTTCCCCCTCTCTCTCCTCTCTCTCTGCCACGCGCGCCCGAAAACGGCTCGGTCGGCGGAAGACCACCCGGAGGCGTGCAGCTACCGAAGGGAGTGGTCGCGAGGCCCCCGCGGGCGTCGGGTGAGGGCGCGCGGCCGTGCGGCGGACGGCGCGACGCCAGCGGCGACGCCCCCGCCGCGCCGAAGGCCGGTGGCCCGAGCGGTGGGCCTGACCCGCCGGAGGAGGAAGCGGCGCGGAAGGCGGGCGGCGGCGGCGGAGGGGGCGGCATCGCCGCGCCAGGCCGGAACAGCGTCGCCTTGGGCATCGGCGAGAGCGATGGCAGCGACGCGGCGCCGAGCGGAGCCGCAGCCGACGCTCCGCCGCCGAGCGAGGGCGCGAGCCCCGCCATGGTGGCCTTTGCGAGCGGCGAGCGGAGGCGGCTGTAGTCGGAGACCTGGTGGATGGCGCTGCTCCGGAGAGGGTCCGGCGCGCGCGGCAGCGAGCGGCGGCTCATGGGGAAAACGGCGAGTGTACAGCGGCGGTGTGTGTGTGTATACCGCGGGAGACGAGAAGAAACAACTGCTGCGGTATTCTCGACGGGGGGGGGGGGAGAATTTTACAACGCTCCCTTTGCTGCACACCATAAAATCTTTGCTTGTGCGCGCCGCGACTCGCAGCTGTGGAGAGAATCCACGCGGCAGCTCGACCGAATTCAGGCGGGCAGACACGGTGAGAAAGAAAAGGGTTTATTTTTTCGCCTGGGATTGCTTAGAATTTTTTGCGCAGCGGCAGTCCGGCTCGCACGCCGACCTCGAGGCGCCAGCTTGCTGCGTGTTTCCCTGAGCACGACTGGGCGCGTCCCGCCATGCGTCGACATGTGCGGCGGCAAGGCTCTCGCCTCGCCCTCGCCGGCGTCGGTGGCGCGGTCGGCCTCTCGGGCGTGGCAGCGTGGCAGGCGCCCTCACCCCTCGCCTCCCTAGCCAGCTGCGAGGGTGGATGCAGGGTGGATCCGGGAGACGGAGCGGGCGGTGATGGGAGGCGGGAGCGACGGGGGCAGCTGCCCGAGCCGCGCGCCACAGCCCCACCCGCGCCCCTTCCCTCTCTCTCCTGCAGCGGCTCGCGAGCCGCCGCTTCCGCTCCGTTCCACCGCCCGCGGGCCTGCGCCTGCCCACCACCCCCGCCGGCCCGGGTCGCAGGCGAAGCAGCTCGAGTACGAGTACAAGCGCAACGGCCCGCTCCCGTCCGCGCGCGGGCCGGTCGGCGCTGCCGCGCGCTGGCTGCCTCGGCCGGGACATGTCCGAGACACGTCCGGGACAATGCCCCGTAGGTCGGCGGTGTCGCGCGCTGGCTGCCTCGGCCGGCGGCGCACTCTGCGGCAGAGGTCGCCGACGGCGCTCCCTCTGCAGCCGTCGCCGCCAAGGCGGCCGCCGGCGCCGTCGCCGCTGCGGCAGCGCGGGTGGAAGCTGCGGCCTCGGCCGCGAGGGCAGAGGCGGCTGCGGTGAGGGCAGAGGCGGCGTCGGCGGCGTCGGCGCAGGTAGAGAATGCAACGGCGAAGGCGGGGGCGGCGAGGGAGAATGCGAAGGCCAAGGCGGAGGCGGCCAAGCAGCGCATCACCGCCGCAGCAGTCGGCGTCGCCACGCCGATTGCACGGCGCGCCGCCGCCTCCTCGCTCTCCTCGCTGCCGCCTCCTCGCTCTCCTCGCTGCCGCCTCTCTCCCCGCTGCCGCCTCTCTCCCCGCTGCCGCCTCTCTCCTCCCTGCCTCTCTCCTCCCTGCCGCCTCTCTCCTCGCTGCCTCTCTCCTCCCTGCCGCCTCTCTCCTCGCTGCCACCCTCCCCTCCCTGCCTCTCTTGTCGCTGCCTCTCTTCTCCCTGCCGCCTCCCTCCTAGCCTCCGAGACGCTTCCCCGTCAAAGCACCCCTTCCTCCGCAGGCGCGCCAGCAGCGGCGGCGGCGCTTCCGAGTGTGCTTCCGAGTGCGGCGGCTGCTCGTCCTTCGGCGGAGGCGGAGGAGGCGGAGGAGGCGGAGGAGGCGGAGGAGGCGGCGGAGGCGGAGGGGGAGGAGGCGGAGGCGGAGGCGGAGGGGGAGGAGGCGGAGGCGGAGGCGGAGGAAGAGGCGGAGGGGGAGGCGGAGGGGGAGGCGGAGGAGGCGGAGGAGGTGCGTTGCTCACGGCGGCGGCGGCGGAGGGTGCGGGGGTGCGAGGAGGCGGAGCAGAGGGCGGCGGCTGCAGTGCCGTCGCGGGCGGGCGCGAGGGCGGCGGAGGCGGAGGCGGAGGCGGAGGCGGAGGCGGAGGGTGCTGCGTTGCTCGGCGGAGGCACGTGATCTTCGTGGGCGACTCGCTGGTGACGGGCGTGGGCTGCTCGCAGGAAGTTTGCACCGGGCCGGCGCTGCCTCGCGCGTTCGCTGATTTTCTGTGCCGCGCGCTGAGGGCGGATGTGCATTGGGCGGCCCTCGGCTCGCCCGGCTCTAGGACGTGTCTAGGACGTGTCGAGGAGGTGTCGAGGACGTGTCTAGGCGGCGATCGGCTCGACCGGATCAGACGTCCGCAGGCTGCGAACAGAGCTGGTGCCGCGCGAGGTGTGAGCGGCGTCTCTTCACACCTCCAGCTGTGAACAGGCTGCGAACAGAGCTGGTGCCGCGCGAGGTGTGAGCGGCGTCTCTTCACACCTCCAGCTGTGAACAGGCTGCGGACAGAGCTGGTGCCGCGCGAGGTGTGAGCGGCGTCTCTTCACACCTCCAGCTGTGAACAGGCTGCGGACAGAGCTGGTGCCGCGGCTGGCGGCGCAGGTCGAGTCGGTGCGGCAGGCGGGCGGGCGGGTGGACATGGTGGTTCTGCTGTGCGGCCTGAACGACGTGAAGAGGGCGTCGCCATGGCGGACGCCGATTGGGTTTCGTCACGACCTGGCGGAGCTCGTCGGCGAGATTCAGGGCAGCTGCGGCGCCGAGACGACGGTCGTGCTGCCGGCGCTGCCGCTGCACTTGGCGCCCGTCTTCAGCGGTCAGTGGCCGCTGCTGCCGCTGCTCTCGTCGTTTGCGGGGCTGTGGGACGAGCAGAAGAAGCGGCTCTCCGAAAGAGAGCCGCCCCGCATCTGCTTCGTGCGGTCCGTCGAGGCAGACAGCGATTTGGCGGCGCAAAACGTGGAGGCTGCGTATTGGGCGGACGACGGCATTCACCCAAACGACGCGGGCTACAAGCTCTGGGGCGAGCACATCGGGCGGGGAGTGATGCGCCACCTCGAGGAGCGGCAGGGGGGGCTCCCCTCGAGACCTCGCGAGGTGGCGTGACGCGCGGGGCTGCTGCGACGCTGGACGCGGATCGGGGTTGGGGGCGTGGCGGGGGGGGGGGGGGGGAGGCTCCAGCAGTGACCTCCGGACCCTAACGGTAATTGTTGGCCTGTGGGGGTGGGAAAAAAGGGGGGGGGGGAGGGGGGGGACCCCCAATCCCATCCAGCGAGCTTGCGCCCCGGGGAACCCCCGAAGCTTTGCGTGGGGTGGTTCTCGCCCTTTGAGGAGGCGGTGACCGGGGTGTCCGCCCATGCCCCCCATGTTTTTTTCTTTGACGTTTCCGGGGGGGGCCCTAACTCCATAAACGCTCCCTCTTTCCCAGCTCCCTGGCTTAACCTGGGGGCGACCTGAAAGGGGGGGACACCCCCGTCCTTCCCTTTTTTACGGTTACCCCCTCCCCCCCAAAAGAAAGGGGGGGGCCGTTGTTATTTATTTATTTATTTAGGCCCCTAACGATAGCATTTCTTCTTTCTTCATGCGCACTGACAAACTCCCCCCCCTTCCCCCCCCCCCCCCCCTCCCCCAATTCCCAATGAATCAAACGAAACTGAGGCGAAACGAAGTGATGACATCACAGCCCGCGCGATCTCGCAACGGACGGACACTGCCCCCTGTGTGTATGGCTGCCGCGCGCAGAAGAGAGAGCTGGCTCGAGATCGGCGGGGAGTGCTGCTCGGCGCCGTACAGCGCTGGGCCCAAGACGCTGCACCGCTCACCTGCCCTCACCAAGCTCATCACTGACGGCAAATTCCCATCACCGCCGGCCACCCCCGCTCCGCTGGCTGCTGGCAGCCTCTATAATCGCCGGCGAAATCCATCGCCTCGATCGTCCGCAAGGCATGGAGCCCTCACCCCCCCTTCACTGTCCCGCCAACGTCTGACGCTCCCTCGTCTCCAGGAGCCTGCTAGGGAGTGACGCCGGCGCGGGACCAGAGGAACGGCCCAAATTCCGGGGCGTGGTCATCCGGGTGCATCTTCCCCTCGTGCACGGCGCGTTGACGCGGCCGTTTGGAATCCAGCACCGAGAGGATGGGTGGGTTGTCAAGCGCACGCTGATGGGGTCGCCGGTGACTTGGGGGCCGTTCCGCAAGGAGGAGGAGGCGCGCAAGTAGCCGGAAGCAGTGAGATCAGTACTCGATCACGTCAATTGCGACCTGAAGCAAAAAGTACTGGCTGCTAGGCGCTTGAGTGGGCACGCGAGGTCGACGTCGCTCTCGGCGACCCAAGCGTTGGCGGCCTCAAGTGCGCGTCAGGACGTGCCCCCTTCTGTCCTGCCGCCCCCTCACGCGTCGATCGCCTCCTCCATAAACTCGAGCAGCTCGGGTGGATACCAAACGGTTCTAAACGCCAAACACACACTTGTTTCTGTCTAGGCACCGAGACCACCTGCATGGCTTGCTCGAGACGCACGCAAAGCGCGTAGGGATGACAACGTACCCCTTCACGATCCAGGCCAAGGCGCAGGCGCTGCAAAGCCAGGCGAAAAATAAGTCTTAGGTCGTAGGCAAGATGAGGCAGAGTCTAAGCCTAATGCTGCCCCGACCCTCAACAGGGACACACGTGTCACGCATGCGGCATCAAGCTCACATGGGGAGTGCTCGAGTTCTTTGGTGGTGGCGCTGATGGCGGAGCCCCTGGCCAACTCCGCGACAACAGCAGCTGCGAGGTGACCCCCTACCCCACGCGCCGGCCCCGCCGCGCCCACCTCTCAGGCAACCGCGGTACTAGGCGCTCTGCCGCCACTGCCACTGCCGCAAGGCCGGCGCCGCCCGATCTCGAAAGGTGGGCAAGGAAAAGAGCTGGGATGCGGAGGGTTGCTGGTGCTCGTGGTGAAGCGCCCAAATGCATAACAGATGCATAACTAAGAGATGGGTGATTAAAGGAGCAGGTCCCCGCCCATGTTGTTCGTGCAGGGTCTTCTGGGGTGGTTGGTGTAGCCGGGGGCCATCCTCCCTACTAGCACTAGCACTAGCCGCCGTCCACGTCGTCCCCCTCGGGGGTCCCTGCTGCTTCTGATAAATAAATAAATAAATAAATAAAAACTGACACCTCTCTACTGTGAGATGGGTACAAAGGAACAGGTCCCCGCCCTTGCGATCTTTGTGCAGGGTTCTTTGTGGGTGTGGTCGGCGACTAGCCGGGGTCGTCCTCCCGATGGGGGACTAGCACTAGCCGTCTTCCACATGGTCCCTCGGGTCCCTGCTGCTCCTAATCTCGTCGTACATCCTCCTACTGATCTCCGCAAAGTCCTGCTCCCTCCCTCGTCTCGCCCTGCGCGTTTGCTCCGCCTCCCCGTCGTCTGCCCTGCGTCGTCTGGCGACGGGTCCTCCATAGTCGGTCGAGGTCGCCGCCCTCCTCGTGCCTCTTCCCAGCGTTCCCTCGGCGGCCGATGCCGTCTGCTCCGGCTCCCCAGTCCCCGGTTCTGCCCTGCTCTCGTCTGCGCTAGTTTCTGCTTCGTCATCACTGGCGCCTCTCCTCTTTTTTCTCCTCCTGCTTCTGATAATACGAAGTCGTAAACTGATTTTTTACGCCTTGTTTGTCGAATTGTCGCGTGAATCGTGCTGTGCGACCGCCTCTGGTTGTAAAGTTCTTTTCATCGTGCTGTGCACTTGGAGCACTTGGAGTGCAGTCATCAACCTCACATCCAGGGCCGGGGAGCTAAGAAGCGCACCCAGCGGGCCGGATGATCGGCATCGGGTGCGACCGCCTTTTGTTGTTAATTTTTACAGCGTTCCATAAGCCGTCAATCTGTTTTCGCGTGTGCAGTCCTCCAGCCCCCCCCCCCCCCCTCCCCCGGGCGCGACCGTGGGTTTGAATCCGATCGACGAATAGGTGACCACCCACCACACACCGCCAACGTGACACACACAGCGCCCAATTCCCTGCTCGCTCGTGCGTGGGGACCGGGGCGCTGTTCGAGTGGGTGTAAAAAGAAAAGAATGCATTTTACTTTCAGGCGGCGGCTACAAGCCCGAAAGGCGACTCGCCGTTGGCCGCTTTCATATATTTCGCCCAAAAGAAGCGTTGGTTTCGGCGCGCCGGCTATTCGGCGCGCGCAACACGTCCGTCCACGGCGCAGCTGACGCCAGGCTGAAAGGGGAAGAGGCGATGAAAATCTGCCCGAACGGCGGCGATCCCGACTTCTCTGTGGATGCAGTGGGAGATGGCGACATGGACCCCGGCTTCGACAAGGATGCATCCCGCGGCTGCATCTGCTGCCCCGGCTGCAAATACGAGGACATCCCATCACCAATCCCAAAGATGTGTATCCCCAAGTTCTGCCTGACGCCAAAGGACCCAGTACCGGATCCCACAGTCGACTATATCAACGACACAGTCGACGACATCGGGACATACATTCGAGGAGAAGCGCACCAGATGTCGATGAGATCTGTGCGTCGGGACGCTGCCGACAGTCCCGCTGCGCGTCTCGCATTCAGCTCAGTGCTGCCCCTCCCTAGGCCGTCAACGACTACGTGGCCTCCACGGGCGGTGTCGCGGGCACTCGCACGTACAGTGGGCGCGACATCGACCCCGACTTCGAGGTTGACACGGCGATTCCCGACGATGCCAAGTGCATGTGCCCGTGGCCATGTGGCTGCGAATACGGGGTGCGCTCGCTGCGCCCAATCTGGCGCAGCCGTTCACGCCCAGCCTGCCACGTCAGCCTGCGGTCTTCCCCGTTGCCATGCTCTCCGGATCCGCCCGGGGGAGGAGGGGGAAGGGGCATGCGGCACGCATCACGCACGCTCTTTCACCCTCTCAAAGCCCTTCCCCTTTCATCCGTCAGGATACGCCGGAGCCGTGGCGGAGCTTTGTGCCGAAGTTCTGCTGGAAGTACGATAAGCCGGAGCCAAAGGTGCCGCGCCGCCAATCCTCCACTCCCTCCCGCTCGGGTCGCACACTTGCCCCCCCACTCGGCTCTGCGCTGTCACTTGTGGGTCGAGCGCATCGCACCGGAGCCCTCCTCCAATATCCTCCAGCCGCTGCCCGCTGCTCCGAGCCCCTTCCCAGCCCCTTCCCAGCCCCCCACGCAGCACACTCCACGGCGCCGACCTCCACGCAGGGCCGCGGTGAGGATGAGCAGCCCTACCCGGACGACGCCAAGTGCCTTTGCCCCTGCGGCTGCACCTACGGGGCAACTCTCACTCTCCAGCAGCCGCCCACCCAGCATACCACACCAACATTCCCCTGCAACCTCCCGTGCAGAACACGCCCGAGCCGTGGCGAACCATTGCGGCCTCCCTCAGCTGCTACCAGGGGGAGAAGACTGAATCCCGTGACATCGACCCGGAGCCTTTGCCAGAGCCTTTGCCAGAGGACGACTGGAGCAGTGCGCAGAGTATCAGCTCGATATCCCCGTCTCACCTTCCGCGCCCGCGTTCCTCATCCGCTGCTCTGCTCACCGCCGCAGACTCTGGCTGCATTTGCTGCCCCGCCTTTTGCAAATATGAGGTGGCCTCCGAGACCAGTCCGAGAACACTCCGAGATCCTTCCACTACCAATATGCCCTTGCGCCACACCCGCGCGCCCGGCGGGGGCGAGAGAGTTGCTAGGCGCCCGGCTGATCTCGTGGGTGCCAACCGACGCCCTTGGCTCCCCTAGCTGCAAGCGTGACTCCAGCGCCGGCTCGCGCGCTTGTCAGGACGTTCCCGACCCAGTGAAGCCGTGCGTTAAGTGCTTCATGACACCGCCTGAGAAACAACCGCGGGACTGGAAGCGCGACATCCCAGAGTTGCCGTGCGTGTCTCCCCTCTCCGACCCACCTACCCACGCTCCTCCCTCGCCGCACTGGCCCGCCCACCGTCCACCGGCGCAGGGCGCCGACCAAGGCCGACAAAATGGTCAAGTCGATGATGGCCTCAATCAACCTGCGCGCGGCCATGATCGATACGGCGGTCAGTGCTCATAGACGGGCCGGACCCTACCGTGATCAACTTGAGCCACCACATTCTTGACCACCCCCCCCCCCCCTCACCCCCTTTCTGCACTGACGCGCATCGCCGAGTACCGTGCTCGAATTGTATTCGCACTTTGCCACGCTCCTTCACGCATTAGGCTAGCGATGCCCTCAGCGCGAAGAAGGAGGCGGATTTGGCTGCGGGCAAGACGAAGGGCGCGCTCGGCCCGACGCGCAGGCGATAGAACTGCTATGATCGGCGCATCTTCACGCCGTTGGCTGAGAGTAGGTTCGCTTGATGCCAAGGCGATTAAAATCTTACAGAGGGTGCGACTCTCCCGAGAGACGGCCGAGAGTAGATGTTGCTGCAGGGGCCACGCTAATCTGCGACTTCCGACCCATCCCCTCGGTATCGCCGCTCTCCTCTCACGGCGTGCGCTTTGCCCGCGCAGGTGGACCAGATGCTCAACACCGTGTTGGACGGCCCGCTCATTTCCAACAGCGCCCCGCCGCCGACGGGGTGGACACCGGGCGGAAATGAGGGGGTGGAGACGCTGCCTGCGAAGGCGCCTTGCGTGTGGTACAACCCATGCACGTATTGCAACTCGTGCAAGCCCTTCCCGGACACCGAGGTGAGCGGGCCCTCCAAAGATCCAAAGATGGTGCCGGACGGGGCGCCGCAGATGAAATGCTTTTACAAGTGCTGCTGCGGCCCCAACCGCTGCCCTTGCTCGCCCGCGGCCTGCAACGCCCCCCTTGAGCCCTACAAGGCCCCGAAAATGACCCCGCCAAAGATGATGATCTGACTCGCCTCTGACTTGGTTCTGACCCCACGTTGCAGCGCACGCCCAGGGCATCAGACGACTTAGCGAGAGCAACCCTCGGCAAGTGCCAAGTGTCCAACAGAACACGGCGGCAAATTAATACAAGGCACACGATCTTCTACTAGCCCTCGCGGCGGGTTAATATAAATTGAGTATTCGCCGACCCGGAAAGCGCTTAAAGCTAATTTACACGTGCGCACACAACGCAGCTACACACTGGCCTTTGGGACCTAATTCTGGTGCATCTGGGACACTTGAGCACCATCTCACAGACGAGGACGACACTCGCAACGAACACACTCTTGGTTGACACTCTTCAGTCTCTTCACCACCCTGTTCAGCTACGCGCGCTGCGGGCGCTGCACCTCTGCCGACCTCAACCGTTCGTCGGGATAACCGCTGGCGCGGTGGCAGGAACGGGACCCGCTCCGCTAGTCCTCCACTACTACACCGAGATATGGGGGAGATATGGGGGAGATGTGGGGGAGATATGGGGAGATCCGCTAGCCCCGCACTACCACACCGAGCGTGCGCAGTCCAGACGCCGATGCAGACGCTCCTCGCCAGGGGGGTTCGCAGCCGTGAAGCAGCAGAGGGAGGGAGCCGTGAGGCGAGCCGCTGCACGCAGCAGCCGACGCCTCGCCGGAGCGGGGCATGGCGACAACGCCGGCATGGCTACAACGCCGGCATGGCTACAGCGCCGGCTGGCCCTTGCGCGCGCACGGGGGCGAGCGGACAAAGATCTCGTCGACGCCTGCGGAGCAATCTCGACTGATCTCGGCTGGTCTCGGCTGATCTCGGCTGATCTCGGCTGGTCTCTGCTCTCTCTCTCTCTCTCTCTCTCTCTCTCTCTCTCTCTCTCTCTCTCTCTCTCTCTGCTCTCTCTCTCTCTCTCTCTCTCTCTCTCTCTCTCTCTCTCTCCCCCTCCCTTCTCTCTCTCTCTCTCCCCCCCCCCCCCGTGCGTGCGTGCGTGCGTGGGGTGGGTGAGCGAGGGTGTGGTCCACGCTATGACATGTGTGCAAGACTGGCTGGCTGACCAACTCGCGCGCGGTGCTCGTACCCCCGAGGCAGCAGCAGCCTGTTCACAGCTGCAGGTGTGAAGAGACGCCGTTCACACTACACGAGCACGCACCCCCGAGGCAGCAGCAGCCTAGTAAGCAATGGCGCTCATGGAGAAGTAGTAGTTCGATGCAGTGCTCGCGGCCCCTGAGGCAGCAGCAGCCTGCGCAGCCGCGGCAGCGTCGATGGCTCGCCTACGAAAAAAGAAAGACAGGATCAAGAAATACGGCGGCGGCGAGGATGGCTCGCCTACGGCTTGAGCCGCTCAGGGCGACTTCACGCCTGCTCTCTAGTGCGGTATATGCAACAGCCGATTGCTCCCTCCCACGCCCACTCCCCACAGCAAGACCATCTCTGCCATGTCTACGAGTTACGCCGCTCACTCCTTCTCCACCGCAGCCACCGCGACCGCGGCCGAGGGCGGCTACTCTCGGCTACTCTCGGCTCCTCTCGGCTCCTCTCGGCTGCTCTCGGCTGCTCTCGGCTCCTCTTGGCTAATCTCGGCTAATCTCGCCCGCAGGCGGCTCGTTCTCGACGGTGAAGCTGTCGACGCAAAAGTCGTCCCACGGCCAAGCCTGTGGCTGAATTGACTCATTCAGTTCTGACCGGCTACTCCATGCCGCAGGGCCCACGCCAAGCCCGTGGCGCTCACCGGTGCTAAAGGAGGAGGAGAGCAGCACTGCTTTCCTCCTCGCCACCAGCGCGAGCCATCTCGGCTGATCTCGGCTGACATCTCGGCTGATCCCGGCTGACATCTCGGCTGATCTCGGCTAACATCTCGACTAATCTCGGCGACTCTCGGCTAATCTCGGCGAATCTCGGCGACTCTCGGCGAATCTCGGCGAATCTCGGCCAGGCGGCGCCTCGAGCACCCTAAGCTCGAGCTGCTCCACGTCGAGCGACACGAAATCGATGACCCCCCGCTCCTACATCTTAACAACGAGACTGTACTACCACTGCTGATGCCACTAGTACTACACGAGCATCGCTCCCTGGCGGCGGCGGGAAGACGGCGCAGCAGCTGGCTCGGCGTCTCGACCGGCACGAGGACCTGCTCACAGCTGACGGTGTGAAGAGACGCCGTTCACAGCCACCGCTCGGCGTCTCGACCGGCACGAGGACTTCTTTGCTCGTGACGCCTAGCCGAGATTAGCCGAGATCAGCCGAGATCAGCCGAGATGGCGCCAGGGCCTCTCCGGTCGCGGCGCCGCTGCGGCGCAGAAAGTCAAAGTCGACGGCGGAGCGGTTGAGCGAGGAGCGCCTGTTCACAGCTGCAAGTGTGAAGAGAGACGCCGCTCACGCCCACGGCTCGGCGCCAGCGGCGGAGCGAGCAGAACATGAAGGCTGCGGTGAAGGGGAGCATGCCGGCTGTGTCCGAGACTGCGACCGGCGCGCCCGAGGAGCGGCCGGCGGCGGCGATGCGCGGGTACACCTAGAGCATCCACGCATTGAGACGCCTCCGTTAGGCGGCGGCGCGCGAGAAGGCTGTGGCTGTCGCAGCTGCAGGCGAGGAGGCGGCGTGGGGGCGTGAGCGGGTGGGGTTGGAGCGGCGGCTGTTCACGCCTCGGGGTTGGGCTCGGCGCAGACGCCGCTCCATCCGAGCCGCACCTGGAGGCAGGAGTCTCGTTCTTTGTGGCACGAGTGCCATCAGTGAGTGGTCGTGTATGCGAAGATGAGTCTTGTTGAGATGATGACGAGGGTCCTCATTCTTCCAGACTCCGCGCCTCATAGTAGTGCGTGTTCGAGTACGTGACTCCGTCGTAGCAGCCGATGTCGACAAAGACGCCGCCGCGCCGCCCGCGAAACAAGTGCTCGTCGAGCCACTTGTCCTGTGACAGCGGTCGGCGGTGGCCATCCTGAGCCCATCCCGAGCGCGGTACTACATCCCCGAGATAGGGGGAGATCTGGCGAGATCTGGGGAGTGTGGCCACCTGCCCATCCTGTGCGTGGTACCCCTCCTCCTCCGCATACTCCACCCGCACGCTGGGGAAGGCCTCGCCACCGCCGTTGCCGCTGGCCGCGCCTCCGCTCGCGCCCGTAGAAGGAGCGGCGACGGCTCCTCTCCGCCCACCGCCGCCGCCGCCGCCGCGAGCACGCCGCAGCTGGCGGCGGAGTGGCTCACTCTCCTGTCGCGGCGGGCGCTGCTGCAGTCGCTGGTTGTGCGATGGAACGCCGTCGCGGGCCCGCCGCCGAATCCTCCGAGCTGCGGCGGCCGGCGGAGTGTCGGGAATGGTGATCTCCTGCAGAGCATGCACGCCGAGGAGGAGTGCAGCGACGGCGGCAAGAGAGAGGACGCACGTCTTCGATGCGAAATTCGGCGGCACCAAGACGACCAGCCGCTGGCCTTCCGGGGTCAGATACTTGCACATGGTCGCAGCCGCTGGTCGCACCCCCTCCCATCCAAGAATTTCTTCGTGCGCCTCCCCGAACATGAGCCGGTGGCATCGCTACGAGCGGCGGGGCTCAACGCGGGGCAGCGCGCCGACGACGTCGAATGCGCCGCCGTGGCATCGCGGCGCCGACGACCAGGCTCAGAGGATGACCCCGGGTAAGCGTTCCCGTGCCTCGACAACTGCCGCTGGTAGGCGCGCCGCGCCGAACCATGGCGGGCGCGCCGCGGCCGCGCGCAACCTTCGTTACAATGCCAACCGCGCGCGGCCGTCGACCGGCAAGCACACGCCTCGACTCGGACACACTGTTCCGAGGGCAAGGGAGAGGGGCTGGCCCCTAGCCCTAGAGGAGAGCTTCCGAGACCCACTCCAAGACCACGCACGCATCATCCCGCGGCCTCGCGGTCGGCGGGATTGCAACCAGTCTTCGCGTGCCGCCTGTCGTTCGAGTCGGGCGCCTTCGGCGTCGGGGTGGCGAGCAGGGGACGCGGCTCTGAGCGCCCAGCGACGCGTGCCGGATGGAGTCCGGCCGCGGGTGACTAGGGAAGTTCGCTCAGGATGTGTGGCAGTCAGTTTGGCTGAGTGTCTTGTCTTGTGGTTCTGTGTGTCGCTCCTGTGTGACCGTCATCGCCCGTCTAGCGTCCACCCATACCGCGTTGGTGTCCCAGTCGTTGGTCGGACTGTGTTTCGCCTTCCCATCAATCAATCGGTGGCAGGAGAACGACGAGAGTGGGACGGCCGCGAGGTGGCATGAAGGTTGCAGCGAGAAGCGGCGAGAGACTGCGAAAAGAGAGATACGAAGAGGCAGACTCCCCAGGGTGGGCGACGGCTAGCGCATCACACTCTCCTCTCCTTAAAGCAATCCCTGTGTGGTGGCGGCGTGCCGTTCTCCCATCCCTCCCTTGGGTTGTGTGTTTTCTTTCTTTCTTTAGCCGGTGGCAGGGGAAGAGACAGCAGGAGAGAGAACGACGAGAGTGGGAAGAACGCGAGGTGGCATGAAGGTCGCTGCGAGAAGGTGAGAAACTGCGGAGAGAGATAGGAAGTGGTAGACGCCCGAGGGTGGGCGACGGCTAGCACCACACTCCTGCTCTCCTTAAAATCCCTGTGTGGTGGCGGCGTGCCGTCCTCCCATCCCTCCCTTGTCTCTTTTCTTTCTTTCTTTCTTAGCCGGCGCCAGCATCATCTGTGGAGGTACAAGTGTTCGAAGAGAGAGTGGAACTGAGCAACGACATGACTTGGCGGCAAATGATCGCAGTGGGGGCGTCAGAAGAGTCGTCCTCGCGCGAGGAGAGCTCGATAAACTCGAGGGGCCAAAATATGCCGCGTCCGAGGAGGGCAGAGTTGCGCCGAAAGGCGGGAGAAGCTGCGAGAGCAAGGGAGCGGCAGGCGGCGGCGCCGTCGCAGAACGAGGCAGAGGAGAGCGACGCGACAGAGGATGAAGCGACAGGAGAGAGAACGACGAGAGTGGGACGACCGCGATCCTTAGCGCTGCGTTTCCGTCTGAGGACTGAGTTACAAGCACGATCCACGCTGAGGCGGGACGTGTGTGCTTTCATGGTAGCGAGCGGCGCGCCGATCCTGCGAGCAGATCGTCGCAACTAAAGCTGGCGGCGCTCACGAGTGAGGCCGCGCCAGCGTGCGTCGCTCCGGGCCGAGAACCTGAGGGTTGACTTGGCAGCGGCTGCGGCCAGCGGACACGGGAAGCTGCTTCGAGGGGAGCCCCTTGCGGAGCTCGAGAAGACGCGGCCACTCTCTCAAGAGAAGTTCGACGAGCAGTACCCGGCGAACCTGCTCGACGAGCTCAAGGGTTTCGATCTCGTCAAGTATAGGGCTGAGCGGGAGAAGGTCCTGCGGGAGAGCCACATCAAGGCCATCGCCTTCAACGAGGTGCTCGAGCGCTACTCGTCCGAGGCAGTGCTCGCCGTCACCGCGGCCCTCAAGGATTGCCCGGGTATGCTCGACCGTCTCCGCGAGAACTGCCCGCTCATGCGGCCCACCGACCGCTCGTCGCCATCCTCGCCCGAGCACCCCGACCCCCGCCGCCCTTGAGCGTGCCGGCGCGGATCACCGTCCACTCGACGCCCGCGGCGCCGCTCATCCTCGCGACCTCCGCCTCCATCGCCTTATAGCTCGCCACCGCTTGTGCTTTGGGGGCCCAGTCTTTTCTACGGCCCAGTCGTCTTGGTATGATATTGGCGGCAGAGGCGAAGAAGCCCATGCCCTCGCCGTTCAGGTAGCGGCTCATCACGGCGACGCGCTTCAGCGCGCTGGCTGCTCGGCTGCAGGAACGTCTCGAGCACCGTCTTCCCAAAGGCGCCCTCGTTGTCGATCGCGGCGTTGAAGCTGGCGCGCGGGTCGCAGGCCTGCTCGCCGCGCGTAGCACTCGGGGGAGGCGCTCGAGCCTCGAGCGGCGCAGCTGTCGGTCAACCCCGCGGCGACCGCCGCCACCATTTTCCCCGTGTTTTCTTTTTGCCGCTAGCGTCTAGGCCTCGGCTACACATCTCTAGCCCACATCGCAAGGAGGAAGGAGTGCACATGGCATCGCTGCGTACATGTCGATGGGGGTGAGACTGAGAGATGGGGGGCCGCGACTATCGCAATCGCAGGTACCTTATGGACACTTTCTTCCGATGCGCGACGCCGAGGGTGGGTGTGGGTGTGG